AAACTGAATTTGGAGGAGCAGCCCTCTCTTTTATTGGGGCGCACCCCCGTACTACAGCGTTCTCTTCAATATAAAATAAAATAAAATCTAAAATCTAAACACAAGACTGAGACCTCTCTCACTCTGTAGGCAGTAGCATTTGCTTCGAAGGTCGTCATTCCTTGATGCTTTCGCTTCCATCCAACTTATAGAGCTACTCTCTCGCCGGAGATCGGATCGATGGCGTTCTGGTGGACGTTGATCGTTCTTGCATTCGCTTCCGCAATCTGTCGTTTCCTGTTGATGCTCATTCCTCCGAATGTTCCTTCGATCGACATCGACGCCTCTGATGGTAGGTAGTCTGTGTGCATTTGTGTTGTTATTTAAGTTTTTTAATTGAATGTTCGGAAGTTGCATGTTGAGCTGAGGATTTATGCTTGAGGATTTGAATTTGTTGCAGTGTTGGATGACGGAAACCAAACGCAGGAGAGCGGCTTCATCTATGTGAGTTTTTCTTCACTGATTTGCTGGTTCTGTTTTGATTTAGATTTGTTACCATAATTTGTTCCTTTTTTTGGTCTGCTTAAGTTGGTCTTTCTGTAGTTTTCCTTTGCTCGAGCTTGGAGATTCTTCCTTTTCAAGTGGAATCTCATCTTACCGATCGTAGATGCTAGAAGAATGTAGAAGTTAGATGTATTATTGATTATAAATGAAAATGTTGATTGCTTGTTAATTTCAGAATTCAATGAATTTGTATTTTTCTATTTGATTTTTGTTTAGAAGACAAAACTTTTGCTTGATTTTTAGATCTTTTTAAAGTTTGTTTGGGGTTCTTTGTTAGATATAGTTTCTTGGTCGGGCTGTTTGCTTGGAATGTTCAAATTTGTGATTGTAGAAATATGTATATATTTATCAAAATGATATAGAAGAAGAGAGTTTTCAAAATACTAACGTAGATGTCTCTAGCACTGTGTGGCAAAGACTTTTAGCCTTCTACTTTTAATTTTTCAAGAAACAATTACTTGACACTATCATTTTTCTGGTAAGCAAAAACATAAATAATAAATAAAAATTCGTGCTAATTAAAAATCATTACTAAATAACTTAAGTTACTCTTAACATGTCTTTAGAAAAGGTTGAAGCCTTAATGAGCATAAAAAGGCAAAAGACATGAATCTAAATATTCTATTGCTATTGATCAACTATGCAGATACCTCCAAAGGGAAGGACACAGCAGGCTGACAGAAAGGTTAAATGCTATGAGCCTGCTACCATGAAGTATTTGGGATGTTTTCCAGCATTCACACCAGCAGAGGTTGGAATGTTATCAATTTCTCTACTTAAATTCAATTTTGTATTTTATTTTTTGACTAATCTTATTCTTATTTAGACTCTAAATGGGTAAATGTACTAATATGCTTTGAACCTTAACTGCACATGTACAATCCTATAGGCATATTCATGTATTTGAGTGTCTCTTTGTGAATTTTCTTGCTGCTCATCTTGGCATCTTGAATGTGTATCCTTAGGTCATGGACCGTGTAGCACAAGCAAGGAAAGCACAGAAAGTTTGGGCAAAAAGTAGCTTCAAGCAAAGACGCCAGTTTTTGCGGATACTATTGAAATATATTATTGAACACCAAAAGCTTATATGCGAGTAAGGCTTCTATTATTTTATGGGTGGAATGGAAAACATTCCTGCCAATCTTTTCCTCCCTTTTCTGGTGAAAGCTTAATTGTGTTTTTCTAATGCTTTAAAAACTTAGATAAACTTCATATGAAATATGGGTCTTCTCAATGGTTCTACCAACAAGAGCTTAGGCAAGTTGGCATCCACCAACTTCAAAACTTTGATTCTGGGGGTCAAGGTTGGGGATTCAAAATCCCTGTAATAGCCAAACACAAACTTCCTTTTACAATGGTAAAAAAGTGCATATTTTCTTTGTCTTGCATATTTTCTCCTTTGTAATTAGCGTATAAGTTGCATGCCATTCATTAGTTCAAGCATCATTGAAATGTAGTGGAGTACAATATCTTACTGCTCCTTTTCCAATATTTTTCCTTCTTTACTTTTCCTTTCTTCCTCCTGGGTGACTTCTACTTAGATGCATGTTTTATGAACCTTCTGATCATAGAAGATTAGTTAAACATTGTTTATGCCTTAATTGGCTTATGATTTTGCTTAGAATCTCTTCACGTGATACTGGGAAGACAATGGTTGATGCTTCTTTGGGAGAAATAATGACAACATGTGAGAAGATAACTTGGCTTCTTTCAGAGGGTGAACGATGGCTCAAGCCTGAATACAGGTACCTTGTTCCAGCATTTGAATATTATTTTTCCTTTCTAGTGTAATTTTTGCTGTATATGAAAAAACCATAAGCTGGAGACCTGGAGTCCTACATATATCTTGCTTTCTAATCATAGAGTCACTGCATTGCAATCCTATTGGCATTGTACTTGCCCAAGGTCAACAATGTGAATGGAGTTCTTAATTTCTTGGCTTCTTTTTGAACCATACTTTTCTTTATTATCTTTGTGCTAGAATCACTGAAAATGCATGCCTTATCTGTTATCAGAAGTTGCAATGCCATCATTTCTAAATTCTAAAGGTTTTTATTCAAGTAATTTGCAAGAATTTGGAAAGTGGAAATTTCTTTTGTTATTAAGAAAAATCATATTTTTGGTAACTTAACTAATTTCAATATTTGCAGATCATCAGGAAGATCAATGCTTCACAAGAGGTCCAAAGTGGAGTTCCACCCTCTAGGTGTCATTGGGGCGATTGTTTCATGGAATTACCCTTTCCACAATATTTTTAACCCAATGCTTGCAGCAATCTTTTCTGGCAATAGTATTGTGATCAAGGTAGTTAATGTTGAAATGTAGGTTTCCTGTGTTGTGTTTGACCCTTTTGACCTTTATCTTTGTGAGTTCAAAACTGCATCTTTTTCCATGATCCCAATGACCATTATTAGTTATTGGCTTTCAACTTCGTTGTATCTTGGGTTTCTTCGTCAATATGCCCTCCTTCCTGTTACCAGTGAATTACTTTTGCTGCACATAATGCTATGTATGTCAATAATACATATTTAATCTACTCACTGGTTTCTAGAGATCAAGGGAGTTCATTGAAATAAAAATGATCTCTTTGAGTATATATTTTGAATTAAATCTTTAAGATGATATGAAAACTATATTCTTGTGAGTATAGGTTTCAGAAAATGCAAGCTGGTCTGGATGTTGCTACTTCCGAATAATCCAAACAGCCCTTGCTGCTGTTGGGGCTCCAGAAAATCTGGTCGAGGTAATTACGGGGTATGTATTTTTCCCTTGTTTTATAAACTTGCTACAATTATTATTTTTTTTTTTGTTATTTTGAAAAAGTTGTGCAGTCCATACTGCTCTGGAATGCACAACTTTAACTATTGGATGGGGGGCAAGCCCCCTGATATTGCGGGTTCCATCCCCCATCCAATGGTTCTTGTTTTGCAGTCTGGGGCAGTCCAGACTGCAAAAACTCTATTTATTTGTCATTAATCAGACTTCTTTTCCCTTTTCTACAGATTTGCTGAAACAGGAGAAGCACTTGTTTCTGCTGTTGATAAAATCATATTTGTTGGATCACCAGCTGTGGGCAAGATGGTATGAGGTTGTCTTGGCTTCCTGAACTGGACTAATTACATAGCCAGCTCTTAGTTGCATGTAGTTGAGTTTCCATTTTATTTACAATTGTCTGCAATATCTCATGTTATTTTATGGGAATACCTTAAGTGTTTAGGATCTTTTATAAAGTATAACTTCTGAAGTCTGCTCCTTTTTGTTCTATACACAGTTGTGGAAAACAGAATTTATTCAGTGATTAATTCTTTTATTTGTCCATCTCTTGGGGAATTTCTAGAAGAAATCTTGTCTCAAAGAAGTACTCTATAAAATGTGGTTTTATAAGGATAGAACTTTTGTGTATTGCTACATGCTAATAGATATTGTTTGCCTTATTGTTGTAGATAATGAGAAATGCTTCAGAGACTCTTATACCAGTTACACTTGAGCTTGGTGGCAAAGATGCATTTATTGTATGTGAAGATGTGGATGTTGCTCATGTATGAATCCCTCCACTTTTTGCAATCTCTGATGTGACTGCAGATGTCTTTACCATTGATATTTAATAATACCATCATGATATAGGTTGCACAAATTGCTGTTAGAGCTGCTCTGCAATCAAGTGGACAAAATTGTGCTGGAGCTGAAAGGTTTTATGTTCACAAGGACATTTATTCTTCATTTGTTAGTCAAGTGGAAAAATTTGTAAAGTCTGTTACAGCTGTAAGTATAAACTTTCTGATATATTCTAGTGTTAACATTTATTCTTTCTTGTTGTGGCCTTATCTCCAAAGTATTGAATCTAAACATTTACTAGATGCAACTGGTCATTTAGCTGTTATAACTGTCATATATTTCCCCTACTGATAAACCATGAGTAACACTCTCAACTTCTCTTGAGGTCTACAGCATTTTTATTGTCTTCTGGAATGTAACTGCAGTTCACTTGTTGAATGTATTCTTCTCTACATGTAAATTATAGACTTTGAAAACAACAGAAAAGATCAAGTTTGACATCTTGTTCCTTTAGTGGCCCCATTTGTGAACTAGTGCTCTTACTTTATAACTGAACTGCATCAGACGTCTTTATGTTTTACAGTAAGCCAGGATCCTGTGGAATCATGTTAGAAATATGACATTTTGCAGGGTCCACCACTTGCTGGGAGATATGACATGGGTGCCATATGCTTGCAAGATCATTCTGAGAAGCTTCAGAGCCTTGTTGATGATGCCTTAGAGAAAGGAGCTGAAATTATAGCCCGTGGAAGATTTGGTCGTTTAGGTGAAGGTGCAGAGGATCAATTTTTCCCACCCACTGTGCTCGTAAATGTAAACCATACCATGAAGTTGATGCAAGAAGAGGTAGCTAAGTCATTCCTTATTTCCTTTCTTTCTCATAGCATTTTGAACCAGCATTTCATTCTCTACTTTAAAGCATTAGTTTGAAAAACATGATCTCAACTTATTGAAAACTTCTGACCAAAAAAGAAAAAACTCCTTTTAAACTTCCAGTGCAATAGCTTCAGTGCAACAGCATTGTTAAGGTGACATTCTTTTCAATTTATAGGAATAAATTAAGGTAGAAAAACATCTCTTTGACCATTTTCATGGATCAGTTAAGTTCCTGCAAATTTGTCATGATGCAGACTTTTGGACCAATCATGCCCATTATGAAATTCAGCAGTGATGAAGAGGCTGTCAAGCTTGCAAATGATTCAAGATATGGGCTCGGCTGTGCTGTTTTCTCTGGAAGTCAGAAGCGTGCCAAAGAGATAGCTTCCCAGATACACTGTGGAGTTGCTGCAATTAATGATTTTGCATCAACCTACATGTGCCAGGTATTTTCTTTCTTTTTCTTTTCCTCACAGTGCTAGGTAAGCACCAGCGGTGCTAACCAGTGCTCCTTTCATCCATTATTGCAAGAACATTAGAACACCGGTTGATGCTCCATGCACACCCAATCTTAGTGGTTTAACCATCAAACCTTGAAGCTGATGAAATCTTATATTCTCATTGGTTTTTGCTTCCCTGCTATACTGAAATGTCTGATCTTCGTTCCAGTCCCTGCCATTCGGTGGCGTAAAAGATAGTGGGTTTGGACGATTTGCTGGTGTAGAGGGATTGCGAGCTTGCTGTCTTGTTAAGTCAGTTGTTGAGGATAGATGGTGGCCTTATGTCAAAACGATAATACCAAAACCTATTCAGGTCAGCTTTGTAAATTCTACATTACTATACTGTTGTAATACTAGAACGTACTAACTAATGATTTTTGCGCCAACAGTATCCCGTTGCAGAGAACGGCTTCGAGTTCCAAGAGTCACTTGTAGAGGCACTTTATGGTTTGAACATATGGGACCGATTGCGAGCTCTAGTCAATGTTTTAAAGATCCTTTCAGATAAAAATTCTTCTGCCAGTAGTAATAGAAGAACTGACTGAGCCGCAGGATGGGCTACAAAGAGACTCACACCACTGTAGTTGAAGCCTTGTCAGAGCATGTTAAGGATTTTGGTGAATTGACTTTCGCTACCAATTTCCACCCCTAGAATGTTGTACTACCATTGTTCGAGACAATGTTTTCCACCTCTAACGATACAAGCTAAACAATTGATAATTGCTTTAATAGTCTCCCACCTCTAATGATACAAGCTAAACAATTGATAATTGCTTTAATCAATGAGCGGCTAAAAGACAACTTTTTCATATTTTTCATTGATAAAAAAAAAATGGAAGGAAATGACTCTTCAGGTTGCATAATTCTAAACTGCATGAAAATTGCAACAAATTACAATGCATTTGGGAGATAAAGAAACCTCGAGTGGAAGATACTTACCGTAATTACGGATCTTCCTTCCTCGTGGGCCTGTTATCCTCCAGAGAAGTTATCATATATATCTCATTTTGCATGTTCAATTCTTCGGAAACCCTTTAGATTCATGCTGAAAAAACTGCAGAGCCTCATGCTGACCTTCAAATCCTTGCTACCATTTCCCGTTTGATTCCAAGGCGCTTGATTTTATCCTTCTTTGAATGCAAACCAAATTAATCACGCTTGATTGCACGGGTAATCTCCCAGGAAACTCCGTCAATCTCTTGCACTAGATTGTCATTGGATCCATAACCCTGCTTTTCGCAGTTCACTAATGCAACTGTGAATCTCTCGTTCCCTAATGAATAAGGGTACATAATTTGCTCATCCTGCAAAGTGGATAACTGATTAAAATTTCAAACCACCAAAAGCAGCTTATCTACTAGAATATAAATGTCATTAAATAAAACAAACGAGGGCATAAGAGAATGATAAAGGATTCTTGACAACTTTATCCTAGGCACATTCCCATATTTCTTGTCAAAGATGAAGTATGTGAAGCAGGCTTCAGATAGGATTCCGGCCTATTTTCGATAGTGTGCGGCAGGAACAAAACAATGCTAGATTGAATTCATGTATGTTCATGATATTCCATTACTTTTCAATTATTTTCTTTCTAAAATAAGATGACAGACTTCAGGCATTACCTCAGTCAGCCCATAAAATTCATCAGGTGAAATTTGCAACAACTCCATGGCTGTTTGACCAGTACACCATGCAAAAAGTTTTCCATTTTCATGCTTGTTTTTAGCCTGACTTCCTTTTTCATCTGCAAGGGTGATTTTCAAGTGAAAAGAACGCAGGATTTCAGCATTGCAGCTACAAAGACAGAAACTGCACTCAAGAACCCCACTAGGCATCTCTTTGACAAAGTGACCACAAAGAGCATGAGAAAATCTTGTGCTAACATGACAACGAGCAACTGGATCGAGCCTGACATGACAAATCTGTTCATATATTTAAGAAAAATGTTAGGAAATGAAAGATTACGATCTACGAGTGAATTGCATATTGTAATTAAGAACCTGTGGTTTTGAATGAAATTTCAAATCTGCCATGACCATACAAGATGTATACCAATATTTTTTTATTGGCAAAAAACAAAAATCATAAAATGAGCACTAAAGGAACTCAAACATGGGACAACAGAGCTTTTAATCTAACTCACAGCCACATAAAGAGCTCAAACAGCATACTTGAAAACTTAAGCACAAACAATAAGATAAAAAGATCACCATCCTCAAACACTCCTCAAATTCAGCTCATCCCATACAAGACGTATACCAATAATGACATGGATAAATTCAACATATCTTGATACTTGATAAAACTGTCAAAATCATTGATGTAAACTATTAAACTGTCATCCTAAGGAACCTTACATGCATAGAGCTAGTCTGGCTTTTGATATCGGACAGGCATGTTAGTTTGTGAAGGCAAGATGAGTTCAACAATGCTGGCAAGCAACTAAGGTTAACAAAAGAAGCTCCAGCATCCTTCTCAAACCATACCACTTGAAAGCTGTGATGCAAAAGTGAACATTGTTTATATCTTATAAAAAATCTACAGGAAAAAATGACTGCATAATGCTCCTAATCATTGAAAAACTGCAAGATATGATTGTCAACCAGAGTCAGCTGAATCAAAACCATCCATTGTGGTTGTCAAATGTCAGGCTAAGTTTAACAGATTAGATGTTCATTGATGAGCTGACAGAATTCAGAGATATGCTCACCAATTGTATTTTGTCTTAGAGCATGTCAAGCCAGAAATATAAACAGTTTGACCTAGGCTCAATCTTCCTAGTGACCTGAGATCAATTATTAACAAAGAGAGAAAAACACTTAAAATTCTATAATTTTTGGAGATAAAAATATGCTTCAGTTCTATAACATAACTAAACTCATTTTCTTACCAAGATTGTGAAAAGTGTAGTTTTGCCCAAATTGCTCCAGTTGTATCTTCAATTTTCAAAGAGAAAACAACCTCTGAAGTATTTCTTTCCCGAAAAATGTCTCTAACCACACCATAGAGGCTTATGCCAGTCATCTTGTCGCGAAGGTTAACAATAAATGACTGAAACCTTTGAAATAAGTGAGAAATAGTATCTTAAAAGTGCAGCACAGAAATGGTAGTAGACCATAAATATGAACAGACCTGAAAAGGATAATCACTGAAATTAATAGACCCCTGAGAATCACAGGGCAAGGTCACTTGAGAGAGTCTTGGACCCTGAGTAGGATCAACAGCACCGAGCAGCCTTGATCCTTGATATCGGTTTGGTGTCAATGCTACAGATACCTGAGGTACAGTGTAGTTAGCTCCATATTTTAGATGGAAAGAGTTTTGATTTCCAATGATGACTCACTTGTTCCTCGTGTTGGATGAAGGGAACTAAATATAACTGTGTTGCACTTCCATATTCAAGATAAAATTCATGGTCTGTTTCAATGTTGCTCCCTGCAGTACTGGCAATATATGGCCTATCCAGTGCAAGCATACTTCCAACACTGCAAAGAAATTTCATTATAGACAAGGGCATAAATACATGAAAAGGCAATATCAATACCCAGATCAAGAATTTACCTGAATAGATTGGCCAGGATTACCTGCTCATTCCACAGGAGAAATTTTAGTTTCACACCATCATTATCAACAAGAGTGATTTGCCTCCTTTCTAAATTGTCAAGTTTTCCCTGAACTTCTAGTGATCCAATAGAATCAATCCTACACAAGAAGTTGAAATAGAGAAAAACAGTTAGACCTTCTAAATAGATACTTACCTCTGTTGGAACTAACAGCATATAAAGAGAACTTGAATCAACCTTGCTGATAAGCAATTTCTACTCTTGCCATTGGCTAATATGTTTATCCTTCATAAAATCTTATCATCACCACCCCATTTTTGCTTCTTAAAGAATCTAGAAATAACCCAAAATATCTGAAGTCTCTAGCTATAAACTTGCCACATATGCAATAAAAATTTTTTACTTCTGAGGCTGATCTTGTGCATTCAATACCTCAAATTCTCATTCAAATGCTGGTGAAATGTGAATCATCAGACTGAAGGCCAGAACATAATCAAACTTAATTTTTTACAAATTGTGTCAAAAGAAAATCATAGTTTAAATCAGATGAGGAATTAAATCAAACATATAGATAGCACTACTTTTGACATGATTTTCAATTGAAACTTAATACAAAGGATTTATGGAGAGATAGAGTGTGTGTGTAGTTGTTACATCCAACCTGGCATACAACGAATAAGAAACACCATTGTTGACTGCATCAAGAGAAATGGAAGAGAAAGAATCCGAGCAGAACTGGGCTCCTATAAGTATCGCATCATCATCCAGATCCTGCCAGATTATTGAAATGCCTTACTTTGACCTTGAAATTTCAAATAAAAATATGATAGAAGCAACTCAGAGAGTTACCTCATCCAATAATATCACAAGATATTCTGTTGGCAGAAGGCGTGGACTACCAGATCCTTCTCTGGCAGTCCGGAGATAGCAACCAGTGAGGAAAACCTCCCTCCCTTTCCTCAAAATTCCATTGGAAGGATTCACCAAGTTGTAGTATCTAAGCAAGAGAAGATTTGAGAAATTCATTACTAGCTTGACCTCAAAATTCAGAGTTCAAACACATGTAGAAGTTGTAACCGAGCAACACATATCAAAACAATTTCAATGATTATCATGCATAGAAAAAACCTTGCATTACAAACTGATGACAAACAACATAAACCATGAAAACAGAAAAATATAGACAAAACGTGAATATCTAAAAGAGACAATATTCAAATAGATGTGATGACCATAGTGCTGCTTGTTCCAGGGTACTCTAATATCCTATACTAGAAATTAAAACAGAATCAAAAGTTTCTTACCTACGATGAAGATAAAGATCTATAGTATTGGAACTCCAGTAGTCCCCCAAAGTAAGCATGTAGATATTCGTACCTATAGGAAAGAGATATATTGACAATGGAAAACATTAAAAACCAAATTCAAGACAGATTTTTATGGAGGAATGTATGTGTCTAATGCTTTAAGCATCAGGTGATGCCACCATAAAAACTTCAAATAGGCAGCAATCCATTATTTTTTTCTAGGCTTTGGCATCATTGGTAACATATTTAAATAGTTAAGGCATTGTTTTTGTAAGGTAAGAAAGTGCTTATATCTTTTGAATTTTACAGGCAAGGAATCTATCAAGTATAACATAAATCACAGCAATGCAGTGCTCAGGAGGAGATACAATTCAGCCCTTAAATATTCAGATTTTGTTGTATCTCTCTGTCTGACTGCGAAAGCATCTAGAAACCAGCTCATTTTATATTTTTTTCAGTTTCAAAAGAATGAGGAAAGAAATGCATATTTAGTAACCTCAGAGGCCATAAAGCCTGGACAGAATGTTCAATTTGATAATGTCTTCAGAATCAGAAAAAGAAACTGCAATATGATTTTTGTCCGTCAAATTATCCAGGACAAAAAAAAAAAGAGCATTCTGAATGATCTTAACATCAGTGAAAATAATTAAAAAGGAGCTCTAACTTTATAGCTACCTGGGAGAACAAATGCCTCAACAACCACAGCTTCCAACACATTAGCTAGGGACAAGAAGTTCTTCTCGTATATAGAGTCAATGGTGACTGTGTTTGGAAGCTTTGTTCTCCTATGCTTCTTTTTCAATTGATTTATACACTCTGGCCTTCTCTTAGGAGCACCTGCTCTATGTTGCTCATTCCATGCCTAAAATACAATAAACGTGTAGGTAAACCCATGCATCCACACAAGACACAAAAAAATCAAAAAAACATTGCATCGATAGCTATAGTTCATAGAAAAAGAACATTTATAAATAGCAACAGCAGAATCAAGATCGCTTTAAGTCACAGAACATAATGCATAAAAAATCCACCAACAAAAATTAGCATAATAAGGTAGAAAAGCAACGGAGGTCCACATATGAATATCTAAATTATCCTGAATTCCTGACTTTCTAGTGTCTTTGCTTCATTTCACATCGGAAAATGATACAATCAACTCAAATTAGTATTTCATCATGAAAAAAATGAAAAATCGAATCAAATAGTGTTAAATGCAATCAATAAAATTCATGTATAATGAAATTGGAGAATCATAGCTCCTCTAATCACTCACTTCTTTCTCGAAAATTTTGATTGTCCTTTCGTTTTATCCGCATTTTCTGACGAACCAAACGGAGCACAATCGGAGACTAAAAGAGAAACATACCTGAGACAGATCGGAGAGCAAAATAGCAGAAGTTACTCCGCTGGAGTAAGCAACACAAGTCTTGAGGATCCGAAACGCGATCCAGCTCCACCCTGGCCCACTCCGATCGTAACCCTCCTCGTCTCCTTCTCCTTCCTCCTCCTCCTCCGGCGATAGCACCGACCTAGCGTACTCTACAAAAGCCAGAAACGGATCATCTTCGTGTTTTTTCCGTTCTTCGTAATCGATTTCCATGGTCGATTACAAAGCTCTAGCTGCTGTGGCAGGATGTTTGAGTAAATCTGGGCGGGGAGGGTATTGGCGAGAGTGTACCGTCGTTTTATTTCAATTTGGCGCGGTTTCTCTCCCCAAAAAAAATCAGATTTTGCCAACAAAGAGCAATGGTACACTGTATAGGCCCACAATCCTTGGCCCGACCCGTCACTGCATTGCCCATTTTTAACAAAATAAAATCAGTTAATTAATACAGTATCATAATGCTGTTTTATATTCCGTTCCTTACAAACTACAAAATAATAATTTTTTTTACTAACCCTCCAAAACTACTTAAAATTTATTTTTCTATTTATAAAATTTAAATTTAACATTTTATTTAAAGAAAATTAGTATCTTTTCACTTAAATCAATAAATAATAATTAACTATTAATAAAAAAAATATACTACATTATTAAACTACCTAGCTTTTTTGAATTTAAATAATTTAGGAGTTTCCAAGAACTGTTTTCATTTTTAATCATTCTTGTACATATGTATATACCAAATGTATGCACCTTCTTGTCAGTGGCGAGAGTTAGAAAGGCAAAAACCTTCTTTGTGGAGGGAAGAGAGATAAGTACTGAAAAGATTATCAAAGTAGGGCCAGCAGCGAGTACTTAATGGTCGATTTTGGGAAGAGAAGGACTTATTCCACCTCTCTGAAATTTATATTTCTCATGGATATTATATTCGCTGTATCCAGTTTGGTTATGTCCGCAACGGTGTTCTGGTGATATCTTAGCCACACGAACAAGAAATTGGTTGCGAATACAATGATGTTATTGTTTCCTTCAAACATATTTCTGAATACCTTTCTCTGTTATAGGAAAGTACGTACATAAGGATTTCATTTTTCTTCTGTATATTAACAGATAAAGCTGAATTATCCATCAGAGTTTATTACTGGGATTAGTGGAGATTTTCCTTTCTTATCTCGGTTCTATAACATTTATTGCAAATCAAAAACGGCCTGGACCCTTTGGATGTCCATCAAATTTCAACCTAAAATTTGATTATCAGTTTGGAGATTATGGTCAATTTCTTGACTCTTTTGGATATTACAGTTCCAACCGGAATTACATAACCGGCATTACATAACCGGCATTGTCTTCTATATGAAGCCAACCACCCTTAGAGTGGCCACAATATGCGAAAAGAGCAAATTACCAATCAAAAGCAAGGGTAAGAAAGGTCACGTCGTAGCAAAGCAGGGGAAGAAGAAAGAATGTAATCCATGAAGAATATCAACCTTTATTTGATTAAAATCCTAATTAATAAGTTTCATTTTGTTGTCTACAAGCTGAATTTGAAGTTTAATGTTATGAACGACTCCTAACAAAGATTAGTTACATTGTCAATCTATTGAAACTCATATCAAGTCGTAAGTGTCATGTACAGAGGGTGTAGAATAAGGTAAGTGCATTAATCTCCAAGCCAAAAGGTTTATTACAAAGTTACAAACGCTGCTGATCATACGTAGAAAATCTCGACATGATCAAAAGGAGTTGAAGAACATTTTAACAAAAAACATGCTGCTCCCACAAAAAGCCAAAGACATCAATTGAAAGACACTTCATACTTTCAGCTCTTCTCAGCGAACAAAAGGTGTGAGGAAATACTCAGCAACAAGCAGCTGTAGTAGAAATTAATGTAAGGTTAGGAATATGAAGAACAAAATTAGGGAGGCTATGTGGATATATGGAGATAGAAATTGTAATACTTGCCTTCCACATAAACATGTAAAATGAAGCCATCGATGTTTTACTGGTGAGATCAATTGATTGAGCTCGAAACAACAGTAAGGTAGCAAACAAGCCATGCATTTCCAATAATCTTCATGAGAAAAGAAGAAAAAAGCTCTTTTAAAATAATAGCATTTGTGTAAAAGACTTGGGAATTGACGCTGTGTGTGTGTTTTCTCCATAGAAATATGGAATTGATATATGCTGAAGTAATTTGAAACATACTGTGATAAGCCTACTTGGAGGAGATGATGAAGTAGCTTCTAGCACCATGGCAGATCCATATGCAAATAGGACCATCTTAACACAAAGCCAGAATAGCTTATCAATAGAACAAAAAAGCTTGTTGGTTAACAAACAAGTTCTTTGAAAAATTCAAAACCCTAAAAAATTATTCTTTAGTATAAATGGTATATAATATGAATAATGGAAGCATTCCTAAATAAGTCTCTCTCTCTCACTTCTTGTGTAGAACTATTAAATAATTTGAATTGAAACTAAACTGGAAGGCAATCTAAATTGAAACTAAGTTGAAAGGAAAGTACTGTATTTATCATATTTGAAAGGTTCGGTTAGTCCATTCATGTAATAGAACGAGATGGGTAATGGTATAAAATATAGAACCATTTAGTAATAGAACATGAATATTTTAATTTTAAAAAAGTGTTTTACAATCTAAAAAGTTTCATATTATAAAATAATACACTTTTTTAATTTAGTAGATAAGCAATATATTCTTTTATATCTAGTGTTTAGAGTTTTAAGTTTCAAATTTAATAGGATTTAGATTGAAAAAATTCACATTATATCATAATCTAAATTTCAAATATAAAATAAAATTAGAATAAAAAGTTAATTAACTAATAAACAAATAAAAGGAATAAGTAATAAATGTAATGTAAATGGGCTTTGGACTTAAAAATAAGAAATGAATTAAGTTGGATTGGGTTTATTGTAATTATATAAATATATATAGGGGTTATATATATACAATTGACTTTTGCAATGAATGGAGGATCCCCATAGAGTCCCACAGAACGGAGTGATTTCTTTAAAATTGCCTCTTTCTCAAATTCTCATCCCAGTGACAGGAATTCTTGCGAAGCTCCACGTGTTTGCAAGGTAAATTATCATTTTTTTATTAACCTTCAGTTATTCAATAATCATATTAGATCATTTCAATTAATTTGAAATTAATCCGCATCGAATTTCATATAAATAAAGTTTTCTTAGCGCTTATTTTTTCATTCACAAGATTCGAATTCGAAATTTTACTTAAAAAAACCTAAACTATTTCCACTTAAATTAACAGATCGTTGATATTATCATCTTCTAATTCACACATTTTATTTCAAATGAAAAGGGTGTATAAAAATTACACAAGAAATTATTGTTAATTTTAGAATGTTTATATAATGTTAAATAAGTAGATATAAACCGATTCACATTTGTCATCCCCAGCCAAAAGACATGGCTAATTTTAATAAATAAAGGGTATTTATTGAAAAAATATAGTTTTAAGAAGTGAGTATTCCTAATTTTTAAGACAAGACTAACACCAACAATCTGTTAGTTTGAGTGGACACAACTCAGTTTTCCTTAAGTAAAATCTTAAGTTTGAGTTTTGTAAATAAAAAAAACAGCATTGGGAGAGCTTTCCCTTATGTGGGGTCCAACTCAATTCGACTCCAAATTAGTCAGGGTCTAATATGATTTCTAGATATCGAAGATTAGTACAAAAAAAAAAAAAAGACATGATTAACAAATATGTAAGTAATTAAATTGGAAATTTTGGTAAAAATTTTAATAGAATAAAATTTTAAAAAAAAAGGAACATATCTCTAACTCATGAGATTAGAGATGCTGTTAAGTAGAGCATTTTAAGTCCAATTGCTTTTAATTTCATAAATTGGAAATTTTGTAAGATGAAAAATTTACATTTAGCTTTTTAAGTGGCTTAAATGTAAGTTCCAAAAGAAGTTAATTAGGATTTCATAATAAAATTTTTAAAATTTACTTATAGTCACTTTAAAATTTAAATTTAAATATTTTCTTTAATAAAATTTAAAATTTATGAAATAAAATTACTTAAAAGTAACTTTACTTTTAAACTCTGTCAAACCGACCCAAAATTT